GGTGGTGTGGATCTTGCTGATGGTTAGTGGGAGGCGACTTCTGTAGCGCATTTTTTTTGGTGTCACATGGTAATGGAAAGGGTATCGGCTGCCTGGAAATCACCAGGGACCAACCTGGGGCACCCACTGCATTTTAGCTGGAAGATCAATCGCTTCTGCTGCCCTCACAATTCATAAAAAATCTGCAAGGACTCTGGGCTAGGAGCCTGAGGAGAAGACAGAGGGAGATGGGCACTCACAGACACGTTCCCCAGTGGGGTGAGATGGGTCTCTGCCGGCAGGCTACAGCTCAATTAGCTGGGAAGGAGACTGATATTTCTAATTTCCATTTTTAAATGGCACGTTTTATTGCTTTTTCTCCTCAATAGTGTCTGCCTCTCCCCCCTGACCCATTCCCCGAGCAAGGATACAGCTTTCCCCGGGAGCAGACAGCTTCGCTGGGACCTCGCTGAGGACACAATGGGACTAAAACGCCTCCGAGGCTCGAATGGAAGCACCCTGGGTGCTGGAGCGGGGCTGGCCCCTTCTCCCTGCTGCCAGCTTGCCTGGCTCCCTCCCGTCCCCCCCACTGATGCTACAAAATTTGCTTGGACCCTCTGGTTGGGATGGGCAGAAGGTCCCTCTCAAGCCGCCGCAGAAATACGGACAAGCGGGGCTGCTCTCCACCCTTCTCTCTCTGTCCCCCTCGCCACTTTGCCTCCTCCCCCCAGCCCCAGCGTCGCTCCCCCCGTGGGTACCATGTGACACGGTGCGCGCGCACAGCAGTGTTTAGGGCAGAGCGGTTGACAGAGAGATGGCAGAGGAAGAGGAGGAGAAGAGGAGGAAGGAGATGGAAGAGAAGAGGAAAGAAGAACGTTAATGTTAGTCTGGAGGGCCAGTACTACACCTTTCTGTAAACTCATATCCACCATGCGGGGGCTCATCAGCTCAATGAAGAAATTCTTGTTTTTTTCATACTCCTCATCATCAATTACCTTGATGTGAACTGTTTTGCTGTGGACGGAAAAATAGTAAGTGTCATAAAGGGGAGAAGGGAGCAGAGAAGCAACAGTGGAGGGAGATAAAGAGTTGAATGGGAACATTAGAGAGTCAAAGTTTTCTCACCCACAGACCAAGCTCAACACGGCCCTTGAGAAAGGCTGAAGCCCCACTTCTGCAGGTGATGCTGGCCAATTTTCAGTTTAACCCAAAGGCACGATAGCAGGTCACGCTGCACCAAGAGAAGTTATCTAAAAGTGGCTCGGATCCCCCGGCAAACCGGCGAGGGGCTCAGGAGCCGCCAGCAGAGTGGCTCACGGCGCAGCGTACGGGCACTGAGGTCTGACGGCCGGCAGAGGAGCAGGCGTCCCTGGCCCTGCTGCCCACACACACACACACGCAGAGGAACATGCACACGCAGAGGAACATGCACACGCAGAGGAACACGCACGCACACGCAGAGGAACACGCACTCCCC